GAAAGCGGTTATAACCCAAACCACCATATCCATAACTGTAAGGGCTATAGCTTCCATAAAAAGAGGTTCCATATGAACCATAGCCTGGAGAAAAAGAACTAGTATACGCTGGCCTGAATGTGCTCAGACTACTGCTTCCCGTTTGCTGTGATGGTCTTGGCAAAATAGGTGGAGGTATTCGTGCAACTGCGGGTTGTCCAGGCCTGGTCAGCAGGTTGTCACCCAAGTCAGCAGACCTAAACAAATTCAGACAAGAGAGATCAGTAATCAAAACAAGTTTGTATTTTCATTTCTACAGAGTTCTTGGCTAACTATATAAATATGACAGTGCGTTCCAGTAGTGCTAGGATAGGGAACCTGGTAGCCAAACACTCAGTATATTGCACAATGTTTGTGGGAAGTAAAAGTTCCAGTCAGGAAACACAGGTCTTTCAGGGAAAAAAACCATAATGAGATATTCAGTATAAACGTAGAACAGCAGCATATCTAAAATACACACACAGAAAAACTTTCAGTCTATTTATTGTATTGACTAAGAAAGCATGAAATGCTACACTGAGATCCATCAAACCTGATGCTCTAACACTACGTCATTTTTCTGCACGCTGGGTATGTACTAGCAAGAATATTTATGAACTTTTCAGTCTGAAAGGTTTATTTCCAGTACTTGTTCTTGGCTCTTCTATGAGCCAACAATACAGCAGGAAGGAAGTTTGAGAGCTCCTTTGAATCCACCCTTAGAGAAAAAGGTGGCGTGACTGAACTCAGAATCCAAGTATACATACAACAGTATATGCAAGGGCTTTGGATCCCCCAGTTTCCCCCTCTACCCAAATTAATTACCTCTATGTAGCATGTCAAGGGATTGAAACTATTACTGTTAACTGTTGCCAGAAAGAGGCATTACAAGTCAATTATGTGTTTTTAATTTAGTAAACTTTTACTCCTTTGTATGCCCACAAGTTTAAGTCATTTTATCTATACCCTTTGTAACAAGACTTTGCAAGTACTAGACTGATACATGAACTGTGTCAAGCAGCTGTCCAACTTCTGCTGTTTCATTAAAAAGCTAATCACATATTATCACCCTAAAAGTCAAACACTGCGGTCATTTCCCATGTTTACTGCTCATCCCATGACTTCCCACTTCTGAAGTCTATTAAATTAAGATGAAAAAAAAAAAAAAAAAAAAGTGAAGTTTGAATTGCTATGTAGTTGCTTCTTTCTGCACTGCTTTCAATACTTGCTTTATTATTTCCGTATAAGGCAGGGAACAACCTCCTCTCAGCAAAACTTGCAGGTCTCCACAGCAAAGAATAATATTTATACCTTTACACAGTTTGTTTTTTCCATCATGGACTTTAATTCTCTTAGCAGTTAAAAACAGAAGCAAAAATAAGTTATCAGAGAAAACAGAGGTACTGTAACCTATTAAGTCACGCCACATTCCCTCCCCAATAGTCAATTTAGAACACCTCACTTTAAAGCTGCTTGAAGCCACTTAAAATGAACTAGATAACCCCACTAAGAAAACAACAAATTTCTTGCTAAGCAAGCTGCAACTTGCAGTGAAAGCAGCAAAGTTTCTGTTGAATGTTTAGTCTTGGGCTAACCTTTTGCCTAGTTTCAGCTCAGTCTAATTGCAATCGCCAGTACCAAGTGAAAAACAAGATTGCTCTTCAACTGCCAAGCTTTCCTTGATTTCTGATAAAACAGAAGGAGTTTACAAACACTTTCTGTACAACATCCTTCTCCATGAGCAGGCTGGATTTTCTGGAAAAGCTCAGATTGCCGGGTGAACACACCAGACACAGACACACACATGCATCTTTTCCAACCCCTGGGGATGACACACAGCTTCTCCACTTCTACGGAGGCGCGCGTGCTTACACACCCATACAGCCCCCAGGAACGGACACCCGCACTCTGTCCGCCCGTGGCAACACGTACAGCCTTACCTTCACCACATTATACACGCAACTTTCTACAGACACAAGTGGGGTTAAGACCAGTACCTTTCAGGACCCTCTCCCTCCTTCTCCCCGCCGAGAAGGGGGATCCACCAGAGACCCCTCCCCGCCCGGCACACAACCCCTCAGCAAACGACCCCAAACCACCCCAGCAGGTAACGCAACCCCCCGGGCCACCCGGACCGACAAACCCCCTCAAGCTCTGCTCAGCCACTAGCTCGAGAAGGCACTGCCCGGCTGGGCCCGACCTTTGAGCTCGCCTCAGGGGAGAAGGCCACGGCAGGAGGCCCGAGGCGGGGGAGACGCGGCCGCC